TGAGTGAATCAGTAGGAAGAATAAAGTTTAGGTTCAGAAGACATGGGTCCCAGTCTGGAACCAGCCAATGAGTAGAAGCATGACGTGCAGCAGTGTAGACCATTAAAGTAGGTCCCAAACCTCAGGTTCCCCGTCCAGGGAGTGACCACTCTCTCCTTCATATGGTCCTTGTCAGGATTTATTGAAATCACAAGACAGTAAAGGTCACCCAGAGGCTTTAGTCTCAGTCAGGTCTGGCTGAGGCTCAGCTTCGTCACCTATAAGGAATGAATCACAATGTGGAGTGTGTAGTTATGTCAAAAGGATTGAATGTTATATGTAGATTAAAGATAAGCCAGTGTCATTTTATGCACATAATTAAAGAGGATGTAAAAATGGTGAAATCTCATCAGAGGTTAATGGAACATTTTTCTTCCTTCTTTAGTTTTTTTTTAATTATTATTTTCAAAGCTCATTTAAATATTTTGAAATATATTTAAGAGTTTTCCACAAAACAAATTATTCAAAAATTTTAAGACTTGCAACTCTACCTCTGGAAGATTCATTTGGTCTTAGCCATGCAAAACCAATCCACTAAAAATGACAGACTGTCAATGCATTGCTGCCATGGGCTCTTTTAGAGAAGGAGCAACAATCCCCAGCTGCCACAGGTTCTCAGACATACAGAGTCTGATTCTTGTCTGAGGAACAATGCTGCAGTTCCTTTGCTGAAGTGACCTGTGTCCCCAGCATTCCCTTTCAAAGCGGAAGAGTGAATTTTATGTGAATCTTCAGACAAGATATTTGAAAACTTCAGCATCTGAAGCCCACTGTATGATGCTACAGCCTTTGAAAACTTGTGAGCTCACAGCCTTCGGTCCCCTTTCACCTGCAAAGTGTGCCTGGAGATGGCAAATGTGGTGGAGTCTTTATATGCCTACTGGTAATCAAACCAGTAGGGTGTGTCTGGGACTTCTCACACGAAGTGATCTTTAAGGTGAGATTTGAGGTTAAGGAGGCTTTAGACGGCAAAAGAGGAAAGGGTGGAGAGGAGCCAAATATAACAGGAAGGAAATACCCTGTAACCTGGTTCATCCCTTTGGAAAATCCAGAGTGGAAATCCCTTATCCATTACCCTATCACTCAGGGAAAAACCTTGTGAACCTTAACAGGACAGCTGTAGAAAGATGTACATTAACCCCTTCTGCCTTCCTTGCTCCCACCTTAGGCATATACTAACCAGTAGTTCTCTAAGAGTCATATTATTACTATGATTTCTATCTGGGAAACCACAGAGGAAAAGAAAATTGTTAGGCAAAGCAACTTGAGCATGAATTTATTTTACATATTCTCCCACTACTCACAATGCAAAGCAACTTTTAAAACATTTTTCAATCCTTTTCCCAAATAGCACTGGATAAAATTCAAAAACTGGAGATCTGTGCCACCTGGTGAACATATCTGGAATAAAAGCCTTGGAAGGAGGAAAGGAGCAAGATGCCCATCACCAGGAAATATCTGGTAGGGTTTTACAGTAAATGAAGCAGTAAGGGTGAGTCAGAGCCCATGTACATTAAATCTAGTGACAAGAACTTTTCTTCTGCCTCTCCCTCTCCGTTGTGACAGGAAACCGATATACATGTGATTAAAAGATTAAAAGACAAGTGTAATGTGAAAAAATATTTACCAATTCATATATAAACACAGTTAAGCCACATAAATTATTTTTTGAAATGAAATTCACAACTAGTTATATACTATAATGTTATAAAAATTTACATTATTTACTTTTCTGACTTCAAATGCATATCTTTCTTTTCAAAACTAATGAAATGCAGGGATGTGTATATAATAGGGAAAGTATATTTTTATGTTCTATTAATCTTTTTCCATAACAAGAAATATATCCTTGGTAATTTACTTTGTTCCCCAGATATATTTCTCTCTTTGTACAATATTAAATAAGTAAATTTACATAAGCATATCTATCCTTCCAAATTTTGCTCACAGTATATATACATACTATGTTCTGTATGTATATATGTGTGTTGATGTATATATGTATGTTGATATATATATATATGTTTATGTATATATACATATGTAAGTATATGTACATTCATATATACTTCCATATATAATTGTTTTTATATTTGTTTGATCTTTATATGTTTGTGAATCATAGTTCTCATTCAAGTTTTTAAGAGACTTTAAATGACCCTCTTTATTGATCAGATTTATTTATATTATATGATATAAAACATGTGCTCTAAAATATGTTCCAAATATTTTGCCAATAATTTGATATACTTTACATGTGACATTTTTGTTTGGGAGAGACGTGGGCTTTTTATAACTTCAATTGCTCTAATTAATTTTGTAACAGAGTTCTAAGCTTTTCTTGTGTATCATATCTAATTTTGGTTGTCTTGGTGTCAACGCCATGTTGACAGGGTCTTCAAACAACCTTCTTCCCCATATCTTGGTCTTGAAGATGACATAGGTGAAATCCACTCCCTGGATATAGGGTCCCAGGGATTGAAGTGTCCCGAAGGATTTGTGTGAGGCTCAGGTTGAAGCAGAGGAAATTAGACTCCATGGAGGGAAGGAAACGATCATTTATGGAGTTATATTAGGCCAGATACACTTTACATAGTATCTTGTTTAAGCAAACACAGATTCAAATATTTTCCCCATTATTAATCAATGTAGACTTTGGTCTAAAGCTCTTTTCCATTTTGTCTGAGGCCCTCAAGTCTTTGAATCTAGAATTCCCAGTGGATTAGTACTTGATGCAACCCTATGCATTACTCATTTTTTCAGTCATGCACACTAAATTGCTTCAGTTGTGTCTGATTCTTTGCGACCTTATGGACTATAGCCTGCCAATCTTCTCTTTCCATGGGATTCTCCATGCAAGAACAGTGGAGTGGGTTGCCATGCCCTCCTCCAAGGGATCTTCATGACCCAGGGGTTGAAACCGTGTCTCTTGTGTCTCCTGCATTAACAGGCAGGTTCTTTACCACTTGCGCCATCTGAGAAGCCTTTTATTTTTATGTTTAAAAAGATCCACGAAAATTAAAGGAATTTCTTTACTGTCAAAAGAAAAAAATGTAAAAGATTGAAAAGTTGGGAGATAATATTTTAAACAGTATTACAGATTTTGTTTTCATGTGCAAGAGCAAACAGGATTTCTGATAATCAATAGAGAAAAGACAAAAAATAACCACAAATAATTCAATTCATTTAGAAAACAAGATGCTTTTTCAGTAAATATTTAGAAATGTGCCACACCATTAACTGAAGAAATGAAAATCTGAAGATATCATAGTAAATTAAAAATTAATTTGCACATATTTACTTATGTAAGTTAAATTTTTATTTTATTTGTTTATTTTTGCACCTTTTGGCATGTGTGATCTTAGTTCCCCAACCAGGGATCAAACCAGTGCCCCTGGCTTGGGAGTGCAAAATCTTAACCACTGGACAATCAGAGAAGTCCCTGTAATTGGAAATTATAAACAATATTATATCTATAACTACATACCTACACAAATCTTTTAAGATAGGTATATGCATTACCAAAAGAGAAACACATCTGGAAAATGTGCACTAATTGTTTTACACTGGATACCTTGGGTACCTGTGGGTCATGATAAGGTGATCATGTAGATGGAAGGTTGAGAATAATTTTATTTTCTAAGTATACATTTTCAATGTTTGAGAATTTCTGATTAGGCTAATTTGTTCAGAAGAACACTTGAAAACAACAACCAATTGACAAAAAGGTCCAATATATTTACATGTTATAGAAATGTTCACATGTGGTTGTTTAATAAAAAGTCAACTTTTTCAACTTTTGACTTGACAATGTATCTGTGTATTTGTATTCATTTGTGTCTTACATTTCCCTCACCTCAGATGTTCACACACTCATGTGTAGATTTTCTTCATCTCTCTCAGGTGTTGTACTTCTTTCAGGGCACAGAGAACTGGAAAGGAAGATATTAAAAATTCCAGAAACTTCTAGCTCATGAACTAGAGCCCAGGCTTTTCCTTCCTTCCTTCTTTAGAAACCCTCTGATTTGAGACTTTCAGATCTACAGTTCTGGCTCTAAGGGAGGCAGTGTTTCAGAGAGTAAAGTGAGCAATGGGGAGCTGTCAGGCACAGCAGATGAGGCTTCCCTCGCTCACTCTCCCTAGGCTCACCCTCTGCTGGGCAATCCAGTTCCTAACAGGAGCCGGGGACCCCTGCACTAGGGGATATCTACCTACATTGACTACGTTTTTTTAAAAGGAAAGACTAATTTTTTTTTCTACTGTCATTGCAGTGACCCACCAAGTTCTGTTTGGTACTTCCTTTTTATTTTCAAGGATTTTTTAAATTGTTGTTTTGGTATGATCTTTCTGGAATAGGTTAGAGTTAATTCTAGCCACCTGATTATTTTTAGAATAGTCAGGTACTTTGCATAAACTTCAGAAAAACCCCTATATTGCACCAAGTGTTTAGTAAAGCTATGCTTCAAGAAGTCACCTTCCATTCCATGGAGCTCAATTCCGGTCTGTTTCTCCCAGTAGCATCTTAATGACCCTAAACAAGTGCAGCACCTCAATAAGCCTCAGAAACCTTGGAAAGTTGATGATTCTGGTATCAAAGTCCCCTTATGAGGAATACAGGGAAGAACAGATGCAATGTAGCAAGGACAGAGCGTTTCCTACTGCTGGCCCTCCCAGTTCTCTGGGTCTGCAGAATGAAGGAACACAGTGTAATGTAGCTGATGCAGAGTCTGGCACAGAGAGTTCTCTGTGTTTGTAGCTACAAGTATCAAGATTGCTAAACCTCCTGATTCTAACTGGCCTCCTCTGCAGGGGTGGTACCGTTGGAAAGAGTTCCTTGGATGTTTGGCTGGTAGCAAACTCAGAGGGCAGTGATTACAGGAAGTTAAGTCTCTTCTGGCCCCCAAGACTCCCCTCCTCTATCACCTTGGGGAAAGGACTTCCTGTTAGGATGCCATCTTGTTTGTGTGGCTGTGACGAAGTGGTCTGGGGCTTGCATTCTCCTACCTCAGCAGCCTTCCTTGATATTCTACAAACTTCCAGCTCCAGACCCACAGATTCTCTTCCAGGGCAGTCTGTGAGGACGGTGGTGACAGATCTCTGCCTTCAGGCCACCCTATGGGTGAGTGGTCTGCATGAGACCTCTTTAGATCCCCCCCAAAGCAGGAAGGTTCTGGGTTCCCTCGCCCACTCCAAACCACAGGACTGTCCTCAAACCCCCAACCAGTTGACTGTCCTTCAGGGAAAGGGGGGAGAGAGTCCAGACACTATTTTCCAGTCTCTTGAGGAAATGGGCCAAGTGGGCTCTGACACACCCATCTCGATTTCACGTGGTAAACCTCCCCTCCAATGAAAATGGCCGTTGCTGACTTGAATTTTTCCCTGGCTAAGGAAAAGGCATGAGTCATGTTATCTTCTCACGTCTAGGGTTTGGGGAGTGGCGAGGGTCACCGAGGTAGAGGGTAGGATTATATAAACTAATGTTCTTTGGATTGATGCTAGAGGTGGGGGAGGGGCAGAAAACCCACCATTACTACTGGATATTACATTAACAGTTAAGGTAAATTGTATTAGCCCCTAGAAGCTTCTTGAGGCTTTATTGCAGGGCATGTGATATATTCTGGAATGTTTGATGAGTAGTCATGTGCATTGTTATACGTCAATTAAATACGTTTGTTTAAGTCATATTTTAAAATTTTCTCCGCTCTAGCTGAGATTTTGTCTTCCATTTTATGTGTCACTCAGTGAGATGTATTAAAATTTCCCACTGTGACTGTGGATTTGTCCATTATTTTTGTCAGTTTTTGCTTTGTATGCTGGCTTTAAGAGGCATACAAATTTAGAATTTGTATTACTATCTTCTTATTGCACTGAACCTGCTATGATAAAAGAATTTCCCTTTTAAAGTGTACCTTTTCTTTTACCGATATGGTTATATGAGTTTTCTGAAGTTAATGTGAAAAGGTGTACATTTTGCAATTTTTTTTATTTTCTAGTTTTCCTGATGATTAAATTTGCTTATGTCTTTTTTTTTTCAGGAGTATTTGATGAAAGGTTTCTTGTCCAGTCTGATAAAATCTGTCTTCCTATTTGTAGTATTTCCCCTGAATCTTTTAAAAAAAGTAGATATAATTTGATTTATGTATATCATATTACTGTATATTTATTTTTGCTTCTAAGTTCCTTTTCCTTTCCTTTCTTTTGATATGGTCAATATTTTTTAACTATCAAATAATTACTTTGCATGGTTATCTAGCTAAACATTCTTTTGCTATTCTTGTAGTGTTCACCCTTCAGATTACAATGTACATTTTTGCCTTTCACAATCTAATATTAGTTAATTAGTTCCCTAAAACTGCTCAGTCAGTTTTGGGACTTTAAGACACTTTGATTCCACAAACTCTTTCCACGTTTATTGTCATGCATTTTCATTCTCTATATATTTAAATCCCCGAAGGAAATTATTATCATTGTGTTACATAGCAAATACTCATTTAAATTTGCCTCCATATTCACAAATGTCATTCGTCTTTCTTTCCTGTATTTGTGTGGCTCCACCTAGGATGATATTTCTTCTGCCCAAAGAATAACCTATAATATTTCTTTTAGTTTGGATCTTTAGGTCACAATTTTTCTGAGTTTTTGTTACATGATGATGAATGTCTTTTCTTTTAAGGATGTTTTTCTTTAAAGCATACTTTTTGTCCTATTAATATTGGCCTTTAAAAAATTTTTTTAAATAATATTGACCTTTTAAAAATAGATTTATTGGAGGAGTAGCCAAGATGGCAGAGGAATAGGACGGGGAGACCACTTTCTCCCCTACAAATTCATCGAAAGAACATTTGAACAGTGAGCAAATTTCACAAAACAACTTCTGATCTCTAGCAGAGGACATCAGGCGCCCAGAAAAGCAGCCCATTGTCTTCGAAGGGAGGTAAGACAAAATATAAAAGATAAAAAGGGAGACAAAAGAGCTATGGACAGAGACCCGTCCCGGGAAGGGAGTCTTAATAGAGGAAGTTTCCAATCACCAGGAAACCCTCTCACTGGCGGGACTGGGGGAAGTTTTCGGCAATCTAACTGGGAGGAAAATTTAAATAAGGCCCACAGATTACGTGCCTAAAAGCAACTCCCAGCAGAAAAGTACCCCAGACGCCCGCACCCGCCAGCAACAAGCGGGGGCGGAACGGAGAGGAGCGGGCAGCATTGCTTAGGGTAAGGACCGGCCCGAAGACCCTGAGAGCAATCGGAGGGAGCTTTTTTTAAATGGTGGGACAAAATTAACCGGCCGGAACACACTACCTGCGGTTCGCAAAACAAAGGGACTGAGAAAGTCCAGAGAAGAGCCAGCCCATCCCCGCTGGAGGTAGGAGGCAGGGGGAAGGGGAAAAGGGCAAACTCAGCCCCTGAGAAGCCACCCCCTCCCACACTGCAAACAGGCCCCCGGTTCCTATCTAAAGACTTCCTGAGACCCGACTGGCGGCGCGCGCTGGGGCCGCGGAGGGGAAAAGCGCCCCGTACCCGGGGAGAGTGCACCCAAGCCTCTGGATGCCTGGGCCGCTCGACACGGAGGGAAAAGGCACGCTGCACCCAGGGAGAGTACGCCCAAGCCCCTGGCTGCCTGCACCGCTCAGGCCAGGAAAGGCACAAAATGCAGGCGCAACCGAATCTGCACTTTTGTGGAGTACCCCGAACACTGGAACCACAGTCAACGCAGGGCCCGCTCCATATAGAGCAGCCGGGAGCCTGAGTAGTGTAGACTGGGAAAGCACTGACACCCGTGAGTGGGGCAAACCCAGTGTGGCCGGTGAGTGCTAGCCACACGGAGCGGTGTCTGTCTGCAGTGCCCCGCCCTCCCCGTAGCAGGACTAAACTGAACTAGCGAACCTAAATAAGAGATCACCTCCGCCCGCCTGTGTCAGGGCGGAAATTAGACACCGAAGAGAAGCCAAAATAAACAAAGGGAACCGCTTCAGAAA